AGCACTTTGTGTGACCTTGGGTAAGTCCTTTAACTGTCCTGAGCCTGCTTTCCTCAGCAGTAAAATGAGAAGGGCTGGGAGCTCACGTTCTTTGACTTTGTACTTTGTGTGTGTGTGACTTTTGGAAAGCAACCTCATAAACCGATTTGGAGTAAGGTTTTACCAAAGGCTTAGTATATAATCTGTTCCCAGAATTTTTATACTCTGTCCTTTTGCAGTATGGACAGGAGCAAAGAGAAAGTGTTGGTTTCCAGAAGACCATCCATTAGAGGCAGGTTTTCTGCTTCATTATGTTTGTCAGCAGAATCTCTAACACTGTGCTTGGTGACCTGAGGCTGATTTCCATTAGCCAGGATAAGTGAGAGTTGGGAACAGGGATGATAAAAAGAATAAACTGGTAAGAACCAATGAAACACTTCTTTAACAGTGGCCAGGGGGATGGACAGCCTACTTAGTCACCATTCGTGGGGAAAAGTGTACATATTCAACTCGCCCAGAGAAAGCTTCACAATGAAAAGAGTAAGAATTCTGCTAAGCCGTTATGTAAAGCTAGCGAAATTTCTACTCTGACTTGTGCCAATGAACTTTCCCCTTAAGGTTGGAAGAGTTCAGGGCTTGTTCTATGTGGTTAATTTTGACTGCCCAGTTGGATTTATAAACCATGTCCTCCTCCTCTGTAACAGCTGCACATTTCCCTCAGTTTGCAAGTCCCGCTACTTTGTTTTTCTCACTGTAATGAGTTTCTGTTGCATCCAAAAGGAGCTTAAAGAATTGAAATCGTGGTATTATAACACATCATTTCAGGCTTTCCATGTTATTAAAGGATCATGGATTGGAAAATGCAATTAACAGATTTTTCACACATTGTTTCTAAATTCCTGCTTGAGTTTCAAAACTGGCACCTTTTCCAAAATTGGCCCTGGAGGAGTTATTGTTTAATTCGACTTAAACACACACACACACACACACAGACACACACACACGCTTACTTTTGAATGGGTGTTCATAGGGTTCAGAATTCAAAAGGTACAAAAAGGTATCCCGAGGAAACTGCCCTCCCACCTTGTTGCCAACCACTCAGTTTCTCCAGGGGAAGCCCGGGCTGTCCTTCCAAAGATCTTTTTTTTTTTTTTTAAAGATTCTATGTATTAATTTGATAGAGAGATCGCAAAAGAGGGAACACAAGCAGGGGGGAGTGGGAGAGGGAGAAGCAGGCTCCTCACCGAGCAGGGAGCCCAATGCGGGGCTCAATCCTAGGACCCCAGGATTATGACCTGAGCCGAAGGCAGACGCTTAACAACTGAACCACCCAGGAACCCCCTCCCAAAGATCTTTTAGCCAGAGCCTGGAAACCTCCTTCTCCCACATCACACCCTGCTTTTCTCACTTTGCACTGCACTTGACTGTCATTCCATACCTACACGACACAGAGCGCTCTCTTTTTCTCTGACAGCTTCCTGGCCTCCCAGTGAATGGCTGTATCTTACTTTATCTCGTGACCCCCCCCCCTTAAGGGACAGTTGGGCAGTTTCCACTCTTTGACTCTTGACAACAACAGCTAACCCTTGCTGAGTGCCAAGCTTTGTTCTGTGTGCCTCCCATAAGTCATTTTATTTACTCCTCAGTACTGAGAATGGAGACACACATACGGGACGTCCCACAAGATGAATATTTATGCCGGCTGAATTCCTAGAAGTAGAATCGTGCGTCTCCAGGTCCAAGGGCACAGGTGTTACTCGTGGCAGGTAGAGTCAGCATGTCAGCAACCTGCTAGAACAGGCCTGGTTGCTCCCACCACGGGCTCCCAACAGTTGTTGACTGAGTGCCAATCTGGCAAGTAGCAATGTGTATCTCTCTTGTGAGCGGTTCCCCCTCCTCTGGGAAGTTTAAAAACCGTTTGTCCTTTTCTATGAAATACTGTAGCATTTGCTTACTTCTGTTGGGTGCCTTTTCATAGTAATTTGTATGTCTGGTATATCTGGTAGGGAAATTAGACCTAATTTATGATTGAAAAAGTTCCCTTGGCTTTGTGTAGACATTTTTTGTGTGTGTGCATTGGTTTTGGGTGGTTTTTGTTTTGTTTTGTTTTGGGTTGGTTTTTTTTTTTTTTTTTTTTTTTGCCATGCGGCGTTTTTAAGAGTTTTTAGATAGTTGAATCATCAATATTTTTTGGTTTCTGGTTGCTAGAAAGCCTCAGATTGGAAAAGAAAAAAAATCTCCCATGGTTTTTAGTGTTTTATGGATTTCTCTTTCTACATTTAAAACTTTTATCCATTTGGAATTTACCTTAATAAAGTTTTGGAATTTTGTGAGGAATAAGGGATAAATTCACCCCCCCCCCAGGTTGATACTGGTTTTACCAGCATTTATTGACTAAGCTGTTTCCCAGAAATTAGAGATGCCATGCCACCTTTTATCCTAAGCTAAATTCTCGTCCTTTTTTTTTTTTTTATATTTTACTTACTTGAGATAGCACAAACTGGGAGGAGGATCAGAGGGCGAGGGAGAAGCTAAGCAGAGAGCTTGATGCGGGGCTCGATCGCAGGTCCCTGAGATCATGACCTGAACTGAAGGCAGGCGCTTAACCCACTGAGCCACCCAGGGGCTCTTAAATTCTCGTCCTAACGTTTTAGAATGAGGTGTTGAATACTATTTAGTGATGGCAAACTCAGATGTTGTGTTTCTGAAAGCCAAACTTACTAAGAAAGTAATAGAGCTAATTATTTTCTCTTGAAAAGATTATACCAAACTTCTGAGAGCACATTATCCAAATAGAAATGTGTATGCCCCTTATCAAAAAAAAGAGAGAGAGAAATATGTGGCAAATAAAAACTCAAAATTAGAATGACTTCATAACAGATGCTTTTCAGAATAATCTTCGTTTTATTGTATTACAGCAGAGAGTTCGTTAGCTAGAGTGGAAATGCTGGGCTGTGGCAGGAGGCCTGCTGACATTATTGTCTCGGTCTTTTCCTAATTTAATAACAGTAGCAAACACTTAGAACAGTTGCGTGGCCTACAGTGAGTGCTGAAAGCATTGCATGTATTAATTAATTCAGTATATGTAATTAATAAAAAGTTTGTGATCTGGTATGAATGATACACATATTACATGTTCTTACTAATAAAAATGTCAATAGGCCCTTTTGGCATGGTCAAAAAAACCCCAAAACCAAGCCCACCCCTGTCATGAGCTACGTGTGAGCATGTTGTAGGGTACGTGGATAGGAAATAGCAGCATGATGGTCTGGGACAGGTTGTGGGTTATGGTCTCCCCAGCATTGTCCCTCACTTGCACATATCTGTGCCTTCCTACCTGTGCCCCCCCCCAAACACAGAAGTAAATGCCTTTTTTTCTTTTTCTTTTTAAGATTTTATTTGAGAGAGTGCGTGAGTGATCGTGAGTGGGGGAGGCGGGGAGAGGGAGAAGCAGGCGCCCCCACCCCGACCAGGGAGCCTGACACGGGGCTTGATTCCAGGACCCTGGGATCATGACACAAGCCGAAGGGAGACGCTTCACCGATTGAGCCATCCAGGTGCTCCTGCCTTTTTTTTTTTTTTTTTCTTTAGAGACTACCTCAAATGTCATCTCCCTGCCTCTCTTCCAGGTAGAATTATTCATGTAATCTTCTGATTCCCTGCCACTTTATAGATCATGATGTGCGTTGTAATAGGGGTAGCTTAAATATTGTTTCATCGGTTAGATTTGAGTCTTTTGTTAAGATTTTATTTATTATTTAGAGAACACAAGCAGTGGGAGAGGGAGAGAGAATCCCAAGCAGACTCCGTACTGAGCGTGGAGCCCGATGCGGGGCTCCATCTCATGACCCTGAGATCGTGACTTGAGCCGAAACCATGAGTCACTCAGGCAACCGGCTGCACCACCCAGGGGCCCTTCCGTTTGAGTCTTCTGCAGGCAGGGCCTGTGATTTACTCATCCTTGTATCTGCACAGCTCCTGACAGAGTTCCTGGCTTGTAACAGGTGTTCAGCGGAAAGAACATAAAAATTTGCCTACGTGATTATACAGTATCTCATTTGATAAAAGTTGGAAGGGCTTCAAGCGGAACCCAGCAGTTGAATCTTGCGTTATAGTGCTCCTGGAAGGTGTGGGAACTTGAACACAAAGTCTGCAATGGTGTCTGGCCTATTTTAAAGGTGTCATCTACAGAGGGAAAATCAGACATTTTCTGTGATCAGATTGTTTTAGCTTTGGCATTTTCAGAAGCCACATTCTTAGGATGCTAGCTAAATAAGAATGTTGTTGATTAAAATTAGATTAGGAAGTAAACACAGCAACACCACACCAAAAGGTCTCGAAGTTGGAAGAAAATAGCTCTGAAGCCTGTGTGCTTGACGTAGGAGGGGAGGCACGGAGCTTGCTGGCATGCCAGAGCCTACGTACTGACTTTGAATTTTCATAGAAAACTCCCAAGGACTCCTTAACAAGTTTGGATATTCGGCTTCAAGACATTTTTTCTTGTCGTGGGTTTTTGGTAGGAAAAAAAGATGAAAAGAACTCTCCCACCCATGCTGCCAGAAGGCACCAAGGCATTGTTGAAAAGAGTGTAAAAGTGTTTTTCTCCCAGAACTCACAGAAACTTTCTTTGCTTTTTATTTTTTAGCCTTTGAGAATTTGGATTAGCTCACATAAAATCAGTTGTGACAAGGCAAATTCTACTTTTTAAGAAATCCGACTTTTTAAAAAGAGTGATGGCCCTTTGATCCCCCCTCCTTGAAAGAGGGTGATTAATTTGAGGTAGAAAGACTTCTTTATTCTAGCATTTATGTAATTTATCATAGGTTGAAAGCCTGAGCGTGAAAGGAGCATGCGTCAATTTCTTTGCATAGTTTGAAACAGCTTACATGAGGAAAAGTCCAAAGGCATCTTTAAATGGTTCGGGGACCTATTTTAACGCAAGCTAAACGTGCTTTTTGTTGGAGGGACAGTAAATGAAAACAGGTGTCATTCGATTTCCTTCTCTCTTCTTCTCTTTCTAGATTGCCAAAATGCTTTGGAGTTTTTAACTAACTGACTTAAGAAAAGTCCCAACTAGATTTGAGACTATAAAAACCGAAGCTACAGCAAGGGCGATTCAGTGCCAATGCATCAACAAAAAAGACAGCCAGAGTTAGTGGAAGGAAATCTTCCTGTTTTTGTGTTTCCCACGGAGCTAATATTTTATGCAGATGACCAGTCAACACATAAGCAGGTGTTGACTCTGTATAATCCCTATGAGTTTGCCTTAAAGTTCAAAGGTGAGTCTCCTAGGTCTCTTTTATGGATTGTAACTGGTCCCTACTAATTGTTTACTTGTAGAAACTAATTTAAAAAAACCACTAATGGCCATTGTGACTTTTTCTTTCAGTTTTGTGTACTACTCCAAATAAGTATGTTGTCGCTGATTCTGCAGGTGCAGTAAAGCCTCAGTGTTGTGTGGATATGTAAGTCAAAAATCCCTTCCTGGTAACATGTTTTAAGTGTGTTAGTATTTATGTGTTTAACTTGAAAAGGATCTCATCTTGAAGCTGTACCCCCCCCTTAGGCATTTATTACATTTTGAATTTTTGCTGGAAGTTTTTAGTCTCTCACGGTTCTTTTTAAAATTTTATTTATGGTTTTTTAAAGGTGTTTTTTTTTTTTTTTGAGAGAGTGAGAGTGAGCAAGCGAGAGCGAGTGCGGATGGCTGGGGGTGGGGGGCAGGAGGGGCAGAGGGAGAAGCAAGCCCTGAAATAGATCATAACCTGAGCCAAACGCAGACTCTTAACTGGCTGAGCCACCCAGGTGACCCAGTCCCTCACAAGTCTTAAGAAGCCCCTAAGATTCGAAATAGGTTGATCCAATCCTTAGTAATATTTCACCGTGCTGGAGTGGATGGGTGTGTTAATATTTCCATGAACATCTCCTCAGTTGTTGTGCTTGTAGCCACAGCGGGGGTCGCTTATGAAGGTCAAGTTCTAACTCATTCCTTTAAATTTCTCTAGCTAGAACAGGGACTTTAGCTTTCCTTGGGACATCCTGTAATATTATAGTGACATTTGGGAAGCTAACACTGCTGCACTCATAGAACAATGGTAATAGAAGTTCATCTGAAATGATATCCCGCTAATAAGCCTGGAAGTTAATCTCTACAAACAGGAAGCAAGCGTGTAACTACTCATCTGTAAAAGGTTATCTGAGCTCTTCCAGATAATTTCGTCAGAAATTAAGTGTCAGATAAATGATTGTTTGTTCAAGCTGTTGATATTTAATTTTCACTTTGGAGCTAGTGTTGACCAGATGGATCCGTGGACCAGCTCTTAATTTAAGCTACCTTTGTTGAAACCATCCATGAGAACGAGAAGCAGAGTTTTTTTTTTTTTTATTAATACAGTTTTGTCCTCCCATAGCCGTAAAATGATGTATCTTTACAGGATGTGTTTTCGCAGGTTTTCGTTAGATTTTCATTCAATACACAATAAGCAAAGACTACTCCAAAGAAATGTAGTCTCTTGCCAAATAAATGTGTTATCTTTGACCTAATTGGTTTGTGTTCTCTATTAAGAACGAGGTAAGATAAACGGAATTGTAGATTGCTCTCATAAAATTGCAAGTGCTTTACACTCTTCTCCGAGGAAGACAGAAGCGCATTGTTAGCCTTCTGTAGCATTGGTCGTACTGGTTACTTACTATTTAGTTGCTTGTTTTTAACTGCATGCACAGACTTTCAGTATTGGGTCTAGGTGAGGTTTGTTACTTGCAGTATAAATGAGCGGCAGTAGAAATCCAGGAGACTTTGGTGGGGAAGAAAGCATCTCCTGTGTCCTATTTGGTAACCACTGCTGCCCGCAGATCTCATGGGGGAATCAGTGTCCTTGCTAAAAGGAATTGTCTTTACCTGTCATTCTTTTACTTCAGACTTTTATTTTATATTGTAGAGTATGTGTTTTCATCAAATATTTCAGAATCACCCATTTCCTTTTGGGTTATGCTGGGACTTTTTTTTAAAGCCTCCTTAGCAAGTTTCTGTATTTGAGCATTTGGTTACAGTTAGTTAATGTTCTCCTGTATGAAATCTCGGGCTGAATTCTGTTTGACAGGCCCCAGGAAACCTAAACAGCCTTTGTTTTTTTTTAATGTTTTCAGTGTGATCCGTCATAGAGATGTTCAATCCTGTCACTATGGTGTAAAGGACAAGTTCCGCCTCCAAGTTTCCGAGCAAAGCCAGAGGAAGGCTTTAGGAAGGAAAGAGGTGGTGGCTATTCTTCTCCCATCTGCAAAAGAACAAAAGGAAGAAGAGGAAAAAAGGATAAAGGAACATTTAACCGAAAGTTTATTTTTTGAGCAGTCCTTTCAACCAGGTAGTTTTGGGGTTGCTTTTAAAGGCCATTGGCGCTCTTAACGCATTTCTAACTGGAAAATCGCGAGGGAGCTAAGAATCATTACTAGAAAAATGATCTGCCACTTTTCACCTAATTAACTACTTCAGGACGGAACCGAACTAGAGATCAGGTACCGAAAATGGAGCAAGAGGCCTAGAGCTGGACTTGAAATGGGGAGAGAAGCTCTCGGCCGCCGGGGCTGTGAGGAGAGGGCGAGTGTGGCTATCGCCTCTGAAATGTGTCGACCCAAGAATGCAGCCCCCCGCCCCGTACTTTCGAAGGCTAGCCCAATTTGGCAATCACATACTTTTGTTTCTGTGACTTTCCCGTATCCTTTCTCATTTAATTAGTTCTAAGAAGGAGAGAGATTGTGTTTGGCAATAGGCCAAGCTTGGTGCACTGTTCATATTATTTTGAAAAAAAAATCTCATTAAAGTTGAAGTTAATTAAACTAAGTAGATTATAATATCCCCTGTGGGCTATTAATTGAATCCCTCTCCATTCCTCATTTCCTTCCCAGCTTAGATATTCAGAAGTGTTATGATATATTCTTTCAACATTGACACTATCCTCATATGCAACTGTTTGGACGTCATTCCTCCTCCCTCTTAACGTCTCATTATCTCCTTCCAACCCCATTCTAAGAGGAGGAAGATAAAATTTTCCATAGAAAAACATGGAAACTTTTCTGATAGTGATATATGAATGTGATAGCAGCTGTCCTTGAAATTGCAACATTATCTATGAGGAATTAAAAACAAATCTACTTGTCATTCCATTAATTCACAGACCCCTATCAGTTTGTTCATCTTAGTGTTTATTTGGGTAACACAGGGAGTAATGGCTCTTTGATTTACTGTGTTCAAGAGTCTTGTAGTAGCCAGTAGAGTGCTTCCCAGCAGCTGTGACTGACCGATAGGACCAGAATTTCATCTTTTGAAGGTGAAAGAGAGCCTCTGGTAAATGTCACTTTGATCTCTGGTCAGTATTGGGAAGTTGGCTTATACGTGTTTATGGAAATGGATTCTTCCCCATCTTTAATTTAGTAGTCCCCCTCCCCCAATAATGAGGATTAAAAGTTTCGTTTTATATTTTTTTCCCTTTATTTCACAACTCATTAGAATTCAGGTAAAAATCATCCTAAAAGGCTAAATAATTACAGGTATTAATTGAGCATTTTATTCTTATTTTCCTTGGACAGTGAACCTTTCGTATCTGAAGTATATTAGAGAAATGTTCTAATTGTAAAAGTAGATAAATGAATGAGGTGGTTTCTGTTTTGGGAGGAAAAACCCTCTCTCAGCCGTCCATGTCAGGAAGCTCAGTGAAGGCAAGCACCTTGTTAGCACCTTATTTGTGTGGTTAATTCTCACTGTCCTTGGCCCCTAGCAGAGTGCCCCGCACAGAGTCATGTGTGCAGGTTTCACTAGGAGGGCTGGACTCCTCATCTGGTAGGGTCTGTTGGATTGGTTTGCTTTGTCTTACAAGGTTTCCATGGCTCTGGCCGCTCTTCAGAGCAAGGGTGATGCCAGAGTAGAGCCCCCATATGATGTTCTGGCCCACATGTCCTTTTTGCAAGGAGTTTACCCCATGTTTCTAATAGTGTGGCAGGAAACCAAGGGAAGTTTTCCTCGTTAATAGAGTATAATGGTGCCTGATTTAATCCATGTGGACAAAGTGATATTTTTCACTTCTGTTTATTAAATGAATAGTAAATTAACATGTGGTTTCCAGTATGTAAAATTCTGTGGGTTTTTTTTTTTCATTAAGTGTCTCTGAACTAAAATGTTGAAACGAATCGAGATTGTTTGGGGGGATGTTTTGAAATGTGATTATTTTTGCACATCTTTAGAGAAATGATTATTAGACATATCACAAGTGCGACAACGTTGGGGGTCTCTGTGAACCAGCCAGAAAGTGGTCAGAGGCTAGATCGTGAAAGATTTAGATTTTATAAATGTATTTTTATAAATGTATCAGAAGGCAAGAAAATGAGATATTTCTTCTCAAGTTGATTGTACTATGAGACATAGCAGTAACAAATTCAAAAAGGAAAACATCTACAATCCCACACACTTAACAAATTTGCTTATGTAACTGTTCCATGTTACTTTCCAGACCTTGTCTATGTGCATAAGTACATTTATATATATATATATTTTTTTCATTTAACAGAAATTTAAGAGAAACCCACAAAGCATACTTTAACAAAATACCAAAGCCCATGTTATTAAAAAGATGTTTTGAAAAGATGCAGCTGAATCTTAGTGGGTTTGTCTTAATTACATTACTAATGAACTGCTATTTCTATGCAATGTTTTGAGTCCGTGCCCTCTGGCTTAAGAAAATTACACTCTTTATTATTGTTTATAATAATAAAAGATTGACCTAAAAGTCCATCAGTTGGGGATTGGTTTAAATTATGAATATTCATAAGATGGGATGCCAGGCAGACATTTATTTACAAGGTTCTGATGGAATGATAGATGGTTATGCATTGGCATAGAAAGAGGCTCATATATATTTCTGAGAGGAGAAACAGTTTCTAGAACTGTAGGCATATTATGGTCTCACTTATGTTAAAAAATTTTTTTAACATGTTTATATGGGTATTTATAAAATCTGAAAGGAGCTGTACCAAGCTGTTAACAGTGTTCTCTCTAGGAGGGTGAGACTGATTGGGAACCTTTATGTTTTCTATAGCTCAATACAATTTTTACAACAATCTTGTAGTATCAGAAGAAAAGCCATTTATTTCCGCTTTGAAAAATTTCAAGTATCTATGCAAATAGATACGCTTGAAAGCTGATCTCTGCAGCAAGTACAAATACAAAGCTACTTCATTCACGAACTAAAATAAGACTTGTTTTTTGATATATGCTGTTGTTTCGTCTCAAGCAATAATCACTAGAAAATTTGAATTTGTTTTCACCTATTTGGCTTTGGCAAGGCTCCATTAAAGTTCGCACAACAGCTAAGGTATTAATAATTTAGAAAAGCTGCATTTGATAGTGAAATGAACAGTGTTATTTCATTAATAAAACACAAGATTGTGTTGCTGTTGGCTATTCCTTTTAATGACAGAAGGGTAGTGGGAAAACTATATGACAATATGCTGTTACCGGGTTTCTTAAAAACACGGATGTGAATATTGCACACCCATAGCAAGCACTGTAGGACCACAGCCCAGCTACTGTTCTTTTTTTTTTTTTTTTAAGATTTTTTTCATTGTAGTAAGATCACTTAACACCGGATCTCCCCCACTCACAAATGTTTAAGTGTACAATACGGTATTGTTAACTATAGGCACGGTTTTGTACAGCAGAGCTCTAGAACTTACTCGTCTTGCTTAATTGAGCCTTTATGCCCCTGATCAGTAACTCACATTTTCAAACACACCTCCAGTCCCTGGTCACCACCGCTCTGCTCTCTGATTCTGAGTTGGACTGTGTTGTGAATTCCTCAGGGAAGTGCGATCATGCAGTATTTGTCCTGCTGTGGCTGGTTTATTTCATTTTAGCAGAACACCCACCAGCGACCGTTTCTGCCTCCTTTGCTGTAAATGGGATAGAGCAGGGGACAAGAATTTTCATAGGTAGCTTTTTTTTTTTTTAAGATTAAATTTTTTTTGAGAGCGAGAGCACGATCAGCGGGGAGGAGGAGAAGCAGAAGCAGACTGCCTTCTGAGCAGGGAAGCCCAGCACGGGGCTGGGGCTCGATCCTAGGGCCCCTGGGATCAGGACGACCCCAGCTGATGGCAGCCGCTTCCCCAACTGAGCTGAGCCACCCAGGCAACCCCACAGGTAGCTTTAAAACCCTCAAGTAGCGCTTTTCTGCTGCTTTTATTATTTTAAAAAATGGTAGCAGGATGCTACAGCTGGGAGGACCAAACCTGTCTCCCTAAAACACTCTCAGAAGGCAGCAGGATCCCGAGTGGAGTAAGACACAAGCCATCCATTGGGGTACAGGAAGAAAATGAGAATTTCCATTTTCATTTCTAGCCCATTCTAAAAATTCTGCTTGTGTACTTTATAAACACACACACACGAATCACGGACACTTTCTAATGAGGGTGAGGTGGGGGGAGGGGGAGGCTGGTGACCTTTCAGTAGGAACTTGTGACTTCACAATGCCGTTTCAACATTCCATTCTGTCACGACTCAGAGACGTTATGGGCTTCCAGATAAGTCCAGCAGACACGTCCCTATGGCATGGACATGATGGGCAAAGAGTCAGAGAAGTAAGACAAAACCAGCATCCTGGTGAGTGGGGACAGTGTCTGTGAGTGAACTTTGGTCTTGGGGTGCTTTTAGAAGCAAGCTCAGGAATTCTTGTCTTTTGACAGAAAACAGAGCAGTCTCCTCCGGCCCGAGCCTGCTGACCGTTTTCCTGGGAGCGGTGTGCATCGGTGCCCTGATGCTTCCCACGCTGGGTGATGTGGAGTCACTGGTGCCTGTCTGCTTGCACTTGAGTGTGAATCAAAAACTAGTGGCTGCTTATATCTTAGGTAAGCGGTCCAAAGTTCTACGTGGGAGGTGCTGGGCAGGGGGAGTTCCACGTGTACAGGGTCACGGTGAGTGGTGCTGGTGCCGGTTTTGTTCTGTTTTTTTAAGAGAAACAAGTAAGCTGGCTTCAAAAGCATATGTTGAGGTCAAGTGCATTTTAAGATTTCATTTTTAGCTTACATTTCGTTCTTTTTTTTTTCTTTTTAAGTTTATTTAAGTCCTCTCTACACCTGTGGGGCTCAAATTCACGACCGCAGGATTGAGAGTCACATGCTCTACTGATGAAGCCAGGCGCCCCCTACGATGAGTTCTTTGTAGCCGATTGAGCTAGTGCCTGCTACTGTATTCAGTTGTCTTCACTTTGCTGACTTGCGATGGTGTAAAGCACATATAAAATGTAAAATACACCTGTTGCCCGACACAGCATTTCTACTTCTGGGAACTGATCCCAGGGAAACACTGAGACAAAGTGTGTACAGTGATAAAGGTGAACGGTGCCGCCTTGTTGAACACTGCAAACCTTCCTCTTTAAACCAGTTCCCAGATTTCCCGTTACATCATTCTTTCAGTCATCCTGGCTTGAAATCTTGTAATTCGTTTAACTGAACAGTTACTCAGTCCCTGCCATGTGTCGGGGATCAGGGTTCCAGTCATGGCTGGCTGTTTTCATCATCTCTTGTCACGTCTTCTGAGAGGCTGACTCTTTTCGGTATCCTCTCAGTACTCCTCAGTGTGCTTTTTGTATTTTTTTAAAAAAGATTTTACTTATTTGACAGCACACGAGCAGCGGGGATGGGCAGAGGGAGAAGCAGACTCCCCACTGAGCAGGGAGCCCAATGCGGGGCTCAATCCAGGAACTCTGGGATCGTGACCTGAGCTGAAGGCAGACACCTAACCAACTGAGCCACCCAGGCACCCCATGCTCCCTTTAAATTTCAAAATTGTCTTCTCAGTTTGGCTTCCTACCTTCTCTTCCTATTTCTGTCCCCCCCCCCAGTTATTTTAACCCCCCAAATGCTCCATTGCATTGTTGCCAGATGGATTTCCATTCTGGTTTGGTTTCCTCATCGCCGCTTCCTACTTGGGAGCCATCAAGGACTCTAGTCCATAGAAAGAAGTATGACTCCGTAGTTGGGCATGTGAGACTTTCCACCCTGAGACCTCTGAGCCAATCTTGTCCAGCTGATTCCCTGTATAAATCCTTGATCACAGCCTGTGAGGTGAATTATGGACCCTGAAAAGCTCATTGAGAATCCAGTCAACCTCCTCGTCCTCGCTTCACCATCCCCACACCTGAAATGCCTGCTAATCTCCTTGCTTTTTTTTTTTTTTTTCCAATCATTTCTGCCCATCTTTTAGGCTTGATTTCAGTGTTAGCTTCTGGAGCATCTTTTCTGACCTGCCCTGGTCCTACAATTATCCTCTTTCTCTGTACATTGTCACTCATGGTTTCTGTGTGTGTGTGTGTGTGTGTGTGTGTGTGTTTAACCACTTATTTAGGACTGAGCATATTCTTACATTACTAAATTTTTCTGGTTTCATGTACGGAGTCTCTTCGAAAGAGACAAGCCCAACGAGAATACTATCCTTCTGCCTCTTTGCGGTCCTGGAGCCCTAGGATACAAATAGGCTCAACATGTTTTTGTTAATGACGTTGGCTGCCTTTACTGACACCTTAAAAATGCCACATCTGCTGGTCTTAGAGCTGATGTGACTGGATAAAGTGGGAGGTATATTTGATGGTTAAAAAATTAGCTATGGCCAGACATCAGTGATCTAATTAAATCTATCCAGTGACTGCCCGTTGCTGTAAATTGGATTTCTTCTGTATAATATCAACTAAATTCAAACTGACTTTGAATTCTTGGTAGAGTGCCCATCTGTGCGCTGTAGTTTATTTGCTCGTCGAAATCTAGACAATTGCTTATTGAATGGAAGACTTGGTAAAATGCCTGGCTTTAACTGTTCTCCAATTCTTTTTCTTCCAGGTCTTATCACAATGGCTATACTTAGAACATGAGCAAGGAGTTCAGTTGACTTCTGAAGTAAACTTATCTTGCAAATATGAATGCGGACTGCCTTTTATCTCTCTCTCACTCCATTAACATGCGACAAACTATTGAGCGATTTACAGTAATTGCAAAACTATAATATATATTTTAAATTACTCTCTAATTTTATTGGAAGGACTCCAGCTCATTATGTCACAGACAGCAAAGATGCTTTTGAGCGACCCCTAGGAAATTATTTGAAGAAACTCTTTTTATATCTAAAGCTATTGTGCAAAAGACTTTAATTAAAACATCTGCTATTTTGTCATCTTTTTTTTTTTCCTAATTCACTTTGATTCCTAAGGTCATACATCCTTCAAAGTGAAAGGCCTGAAAGAGCAAACTGAGAGCAAACTGACCAGCCTGAACATTAAATGAATTTATTTCCTAACTACAAACAGCAATGTTACTATGTAAATTATACCTTGTCTTCTGTCATTATAAACAGTTGCCATGGTGTTTTTAAAGTAAGTTTTACAGTGGAGGGTTTAAAAAAAAAAGAAAGGAAAAAGCATCTAGGGTTTTCTCTAACCCTCACAGAAGTAGCATGGCTTCTCTGTTTGGTCTAAGAATTTGAAAGGAAGCTAGGCATTTGTTTTGTTACTTGGTTTGCCCTGGCTTTACCTCTGGATTGGGCTTTATGTTACTAGGAGGAGAAAAATCACTTGATCATTTCTTCCTTTTTTTTTTTTTAAAGATTTTATTTATTTATTTGACAGATCCCAAGTAGGCAGAGAGAGAGGAGGAAGCAGGGTCCCCACTGAGCAGAGATCTGGACGTGGGGCTCGATCCCAGGACTCTGGGATCATGACCTGAGCCAAAGGCAGAGGCTTTAACCCACTGAGCCACCCAGGCGCCCCTGATTGGTTCTTCCTAACCCTTTGCCTGACTGTCAGCAACTGGCCCAGCCTGGGATTACCAGATGCTGGATGTTGTATGTGGAGATGTTTTTCACCTTTAAACTCTAAGCCAGGTATAGATAAATCCTTGATACGTGTCTATTTTATATCAGTCACTGAGACATTTTTTAAGTTTCTATTTATTGAAACAACTTTACCAAAAAAAAGTCCCCAGAGCACAACTATTTACATTTCTTTATAGCCTCTTCTGATCCTTAACGTATATATGCAGTTCTAACTGTTATTGTCAAAATAACTGATCTTTTGACTTAGGATTTTTATCTGAGAGCACAACGCATTGAGTCTCTTGAAAATCATCTTTCAGGTGTTTTTATAGAACGAACTTAGGCACTGCTACTGTTGTCTTCTCAAGGAATATACCTACACACAAAATGTATGCTTGAGGTGGGTTTCTGCAGGAAATAGCACTTTGCTTCTAAAGTGAGAGCTTTTACATATACTCTTTCATAGAAAATCCTTATTGTTTAACAATTTGGGAAAGATAAATCATTAAATGGATCATGTCTATGCATTGTATAATGACTGAAAAGCACAGAAATGTAATCTATTTTAAACTTTGTAAAAAAAAATTACGTTTGGAGGCTATCCTTGTTTCTCTGTCCCCTTCAAGTCCTCTGTGCGTGTGTGCACGTGTGTGTGCAGGGTGCGTATGCGTGTGTGTGTGTGTGAGGTAACACATTGTAAAGGACAGAAATTACTTTTAATAAATATATGAAAATGGAGGCCTGAGTTTCACACTGATGTACACTTTTCATTCTGGTTGCCTCTGAGGAATTCCCTTTTGTCTCCTGTTTGCTAGTGCTGTCTCCTATCCCTGTGAGTTAAACGGGAAAAGTAAAAAGTGAAATAGGTGAGCTAAAATGTCTTAGGTTTCTTAATTTGCCAGGGGAATTAATTTGTTTAAAAGTTTTGAATAGGTAATAGTCACGTGCTTCCAAAATCAACTATTAAAAGGAATACAGGGGCACCTGGCCGGCTCAGTGGATGGGGCGTGCGACTCCTGACCTCAGGGTTGTGAGTTCAAGCCCCACGTTGGGAGTGGAGATAACTTCCTGAAAAAATAAAAAGGTGTACTGTAAAAAATCACTGCTTGCCTTCCCTGTCTACTCAGGCCCTTTCAAGTGACCACTGTGGTTGGTTTAAATATACTTCCATTGTTTCTTTTTTTTTTTTAAGATTTTATTTATTTATTTGACAGAGAGCGATCACAAGTAGGCAGAGGCAGGCAGAGAGAGAGGAAGGGAAGCAGGCTCCCTGCTGAGCAGAGAGCCCGATGCGGGACTGGATTCCAGGACCCTGAGATCATGACCTGAGCCGAAGGAAGCGGCCCAGCCCACTGAGCCACCCAGGCGCCCCCATTGTTTCTTTATCCAAATACGTATTTTCATTTTTACGGTTTTATGTCTAAACAGTAGCTTGTTCTACATACTGTACTGCACGTAGCTTTTTTCCATTAACATATAATGTACTACTAGTTTCAGAGGTGGAGGTCAGTGATTCATTAGTCTTCTATAACCCCCAGTGCTCATTAGATCACACACGCTCCTTACTGCCCATCCCCCAGTCACCCCATCCCTCCACCCGCTCCCCTCCAGCAGCCCTCAGTTTGTTTGCTGTGATGAAGAGTCCCTTACGGTTTGTCTCCTCCTCTGGCTTCGTCTTGTTTCATTTTTGCCTCCTTTCCCTATGATCCTCTGTCTTGTTTCTCAAATTCCTCATATCCGTGAGATCACGTGATAATTGTCTTTCTCTGATTGACCTATTTCACTGAGCATAATACCCTCTAGTTCCATCCACATCCTTGTTGCAAACACCTACTTCTTTTTCACTGAGGGCTAGATTGAGGAGAATTTTCTAGACCAGTGAAAAGTATCCTCATTCCTTTTCCTAACAGCTGCCTAGTGTTTTCTTGTGTGGCGTGTAGCATAATTCACTTAGCCGGTTCCCTCCTGACCGGTTTTACCAGCACTGCTGAGTATCTGTTCTCCCACCGTCCCAGCAACCGTGCAGCAGCCGTGTGTTCTGCCGATCTGATGGATGAGAAGTGGCATCTCAGCGTACTTTCCTGGTAACTCCAAAGTGAGGTTGACCACCTTTTCACAGAGCTATTTATTCATATCCTCTCTTCCCCCACCCCGTGCTCCCGGGTGGGTGGGTGGTTTTCTTCTTTGTGGCTTATAGGAGCATTTTGTGATAAGGAGTTGCAAAGGTTTCCTTCTAGCTTCTCATTTTTCTCTTGACTTTGCTTATGGTATGTTTGCCATGGAAAACAATGTGGGGTAGTTGAATTTTTGAATCGTTTATGACTTCTGGATTTTGAATCCTAGAAAACCCCAGACCATTCCAAGGTTATAGATCATATTTACACGCACACAAACACCAATTTGGAGATCTAATGAAGAGAATAATCTATGGTAGTAAAAATCAAAATTCAAAAACCCTAGGTTTAAATTTAAAGTTCAAAATCTTTTATGAGGGGAACTATAAGACACTCCTGGTAAACCAAAAACTAGACTTGAGCAAATGGAAAGACCTCTTACTGTTTTTGGACATCACTGAATCTTGACATCATTAAAATTTCCCTTGTTTCTTTTTATATATATATATATATATTTTTTTTTTTAAATAAGGTAGGCTCCACACCCAGTCTGGAACCCAACATGGTGCTTGAATTCAGGGCGCTGAGATCAAGACCTGAGCTGAGGGACACAAGGGTGGCTCAGTTGGTTAAGATGTCTGCTTTGGGCTCACGTCGTGATCCCAGGGTCTTGGGGTTGATTCCCCCATCAGACTCCTTGCTCAGCAGGGACTGTGCTTTTCCCTCTGCCTCCTCTGACCGCCACTCCCTCTACTTGTGCTCTCTCTCTTTGACGAATACAACCTTGGGAAAAAAAAAAACTGAGCGGAGATCAGGAGTCAGACACTCAGCTGACTGAGCCCCCTAGGTGCCCCTCCACTGTTTCTGTTACATAAATTTAATATGCTTCCAATAAGAATACCAAGAGGTTTTGGTATCTCTTCATAATCTAGACAGGTTGATTCTAGAGTCATATGGAGAAGAAGTAGGCACAGCCAGGAAAACTCTTCAAAAGAAGATTAATGGGAGAAATGCTTCTAGAAATTAAAACATTTATATAATCCCAACAATTCTGTGGCACTGGCCCATGAATAGACCAATGGAAAAGAATTGAATGTACAGAAATAGACTCAAAAGCATCTGGGAATTTAGTATATGCTAGAAGTGTCCTCTCAGAATAGATAAACAATATACTGGTCAATTAATTGAAGTTGGACTGATGGATGCTACCAGGATAAACTCTAGATGGATCAACAATTTAAATGTAAAAAAAAAAAAAACCCATAAGGGTGCTAGATAACAATATGGGAGAATTTATTCCTTTATAATCTTGGAAGGGGTTTATTCTCGATGACTCAGTAACAGTATTTCCTATCAAAGACTAAATTTGTAACCAGTGTCTCTCCTAGGCAGATTTCCTCCTCTCTGAAGTGTGTAATTTCGCTGTTTTGTAAAAGGACACCCCCCCCAAGTGAGTTTCTAAAGTAGATTCCCAGAATCATCATGCGGTTGGATCTTCCCTATGAGAGATTACTTCATTCAACTCACTGAAGCCCTTCCGTTTAATTTGAAACCTGTCACACGTGGACAGGCTGTCATCCTCAGGTGACTGGCAAGGGATCATAGGTCCACTGCACGTCGGCACTGGGCGGACTGGCGGTCCACATTTGAGCGCGGTGGCGCCGAGAGGGGCAGAACAAGTGCCCCGCGGCCAGCCTTGGCCCCGCCCCCCGCGTGCTGCCTCAGTGGGAAGGGTGGGAGCTGGCCCTTCCAGGGTGGGCTCACAAGCAAAGACAAGGGTGAGGGGACCGCGAGGTGTGGCCAGTTGTTTTTAAAGCAATTTCCAGGGAGACAGACATTCAGATTCCGAGGCTATTACTTTCTGTGCGCCACCAAGAAAGCCTTTCACCGGCCGTGATTCCCGGGGCCGAACGTGGGCTCCCGAAGGAAGAACCAGCCTTCCCAAGGGGCCCCAGGCAGGGCCAAGTTTAATCGGGAACAGGGTAAAAAAAGGGCTGTCACCGTGCAAACAAATGTGATTCATCCCCAAAGCAGCCGGCAAACAGGAAACGCACAAGACGCCGGGCCAGCGCCTTGATTATCTGTCGCTGCAGGTGTTTCTGTCACCTGGAAATCGTTAGACCCGCACAGTTCTACCACCCAAGTTAACTTCAGAAAGAACTGTACAAAGGCAGCTTGTAAAGTTTCAGGTTTCTAGAAGGGATTCTGGGGTCAAGCGTCTCTCCTGGATATTTTCATTCCGGGAACACTGGGGCGGAGAGGCGACAGGGCAGCTGCCCGGGAGACATCTACAGGTTTCAACACGCGCGGGGAAACAGAACCTGGACATTTCACAACTTTGTTATTAGGAAGAAGACTGAAGATTGCCAGCAGCACCTAAAGCCCTGACATTTTGCGAGAACACAAAGGGAACGGTATAAAATGGACCCAAAGGACATTGCAGGGCGTGGGGTGCAGGGGGAACCACGCAGTTCCACTAGAAGATTCGGATGGAGAGCCCCGCAGAGCCTGGCTGTGTTCTGCCCGCAGGAGAATGCCAAGTTAGTGATTATTTCATTAGGAAAATATTTGCTACACCTATAATCTGGAAGTGATAAACAACATACCAGAGCAGAACATTACTCTCCAGGATTAAATACCAGACAGAGGAACAAAGCGTTGACCCACCCACAGGCCACTGGGATGAGGCCTGGTCCAGTTACCACATCAAAGACCCTCTAAGTAAGTCATAGACAGAAAAGAGAGGAATCAATTAAGCCCCTGGTTTAGAGAAGATTTCTGTCTGATTTGCCCCCCTGTCACTTTTGTTAATCAAAAGCTGTCCAAAGATTTAACGACGCCTATCCTGAGCGATGGCAGCTCAGTACCTAATAGAAACTGGGCCCAGTTCAAGGAAGGTGATGATGATGGAGAATGTCCAGCTCACTACATGCATTTTCCAATTAGCTTAGCCCTTGCTTTGTGAATCACTGTCTTAATGAAGGCCCAAGCTGGGCGGCTCCGGACGTGATCCAGGCAGGTGGAGGAAAGCCCCGATTCAACAAAGTGAAAAGAATAAATGATTTTATGCGGATGTGGATGGATTTTTTAGCCCACCACGGCAAGAGGGGAAAAAAATGCACAGTGCGCTGTGATAAAGTGAAGTGTGAACTGTGCTAATGGTACTGGGAAAAAATGTGCTAAACCCTGGGGCGGATGGGTCAATTACTTTTATGTAATCATGGGTCACAGAAGGCCAGGTTAGGAATGGATTTATTTGCAGAATCGAAATGAAAGCTTTCTCTCTTGTAATGAACGTGTTTTGGGAGGTAATCAGTGTACTAGGTAACCTGTATCTCCTGCTGTTCTCAGGCTGTTAGGAAACAGGTGTTTTTTATTTGTTTGTGTGGTTTTTCTTAATAGACTTTATTGTTTAGAACAGTCCTGGGTGCACAGCAAACTCGAATAGAAAGTACAGAGAGTTCCCACATGCTCCCCCCACCCCGCAAACATAGGCATAGCCTCTCTGCTATCCATGTCCCCTGGCTGTGCATTTGTTACAGTGAATGAAGCTATACCGATGGTCATTATCACCCAAAGCCCATTGTTTATATCAGGGTTCACTCGGTGTATTTTCTGCAGGTCTGGACAGATGTACAGTGACATGACACCCCCCCCATTTCAGTGTCATAGACTATTACTACCCTACAAATCTTCTGTTGGGGTTGTCTTTTTTAAATTTAATAAATGTATTTCAGAAAATGTTAAACATGTACAAAGGAAGAGAGAATAGTATAATAATCCCGGACCACGTACCCATTACCTGCCTTCAGAAATTACCAGCTGTGGTCAATCTCAAAGGGCCATTTTGCAAAAGGCTATGGGAACATAGCTATAAGCAGACCGGTATTACATTTGAGGAAAAGGGAATTTTAAAAAATTTTTTACTGTTTTGAGACAGAGAAAGAGAGAGAGAGAGAGAGAGAGAGAGAAAGAGCATGCGCACAGGGGGAGCTACAGAGGGAGAGGGAGAAGCAGGCTCCCCTGTTGAGCAGACAGACCAGATGCGGAGCTCGATCCACGCACCCTGGGATCATGACCTGAGCTGAAGGCAGACGCTTCACCGACTGAGCCACCCAGGGGCCCCAGGAAAAAGAAAACCTACAGGAAATTTCTTATCAGTAATTTGTCAGTGAGTTGGTTGAATTACTGTGGGGTGATCATGTGTTAAGCACTAACTGTCCTAGGCACTTTGCAAATGACCTACTTGCTGCTCCAAGTATGGTCACAGGGATGAGCTGGGAGTTTACTGGCCATGAAGACCCTCCCGCCCCACCCCTAACCTACTGGATCAGAGTCAGCAGTTCAACAAGATCCCCACGTGATCTGTATGCGCATTTAAAGTTAAGAAATACTGACTGCCTGACCCAAGGCACACACTTAAAATAGCCTCGTAACCATCCTGCAACACAACAACACTTCGAGGCAGATACTATCTTGCCCAATTTACGGATGAGATAACTGAGACTCAGAGATATTATTCGGCGTTCCCAAGATCTCACAGCAAATACATTTCAATGTGCCTGGCTTTACAGTTGATGATTTTACCACTTAGACCATGCAGCCTCCCCACTAGGGACTTTACTGTTAGGGCAACTCAGTAAAAAAAAAAACAAAACAAAACAAGGAGAGAGTATGTGTTTGCACAACACACACCAACCAGCCATCTTGGCAACAACAAGAGCAAGAGAAAACCAAACCATCTGCCATCTCAAAAGCGATCGCTTACTCCCCCAAAAGACCTTTTCACTTTTCCATCCATTATTATGGCATCATGTAGACGGCTCAATATTTCAGGAAAAAAAAAAAACCCCAAACCTGGAGCAGTTATCAAAGTTCCTCCCTCTGGACAGTTACCTTTGACCCAGATATGAACCAAACTGCACTCACAGGCTGTTCCAGAATGGAGGGAAGGGAGGTTACAGACCCGAACAGCTGGGCCACGCAGTTAAAAAAAAATCTGCCTGACTGGTGTGACCTCGCAGGGCCTGAAAGGGTAGACAGTCGACAGACTGCGTTTTTACTTTCCAACCTGCTGGGTGGTCTGAGTCTTTAGCTCCGCCCAAGAGCGTGGCTTACCCGAACTGACGGGGGACCTCTCAGCCGCTGGGCACTGCTGGGCAAGGCCACAGGCCCTTTGGTGGGCTGCGCATCTTCCTCAAGGGACTGTTACAGGAAAAGGTAGAAAAAGCATCATTCCTGGATCCTACCCCCAGGTTAGCAGGGACTCATCAGATCTCGGGAGCTTCTCCCTGGTAATCCCGGGAGGAGATCAGGCCATTTCCTCCTCTGTCGGCTGTCCTTATGACTCTGGGGACCTGCACTAATGGATCAGCATGGCTACTTGGTTTTGCAACGAGTGGATTCGATGATTAATTAGCCAGTAGTGGGAACCTGATGAAGTTCTCAGCTCAAAACCCCGGGGATCCAGTTCAGGGCAATCTGTCCTCACGCGCACACACACACACACACACACACACACACACACAGGCCAGGTGAAGAGGCGTGCAACACGGCCTGCTGATGGACACCACAGGGGTGATTCTGATTGACTTTGCACTTTACAACCCAGTGACCTGGGCACAGCTTACTGTTGTGCAACAGTCAATCCTACTGGAAAGTGGTAAGCACACTGGCTTAACGAAGCGAGCGGTCTTTATGCATGAGATCAAATTCCTAGTACTGGGATCACTTTATCCCACACTTTTTTTTTTTTAACAATTTCATAAGATTTTATGGCCAACCTCACCCTCACGCTAAAAAATATAATGAATAGTAAGAATTGAGTCCAAGTAGGCCAAAAAACCTGGCCTGTTAAAATAGATAAGACTAAGAGTTTTTTTTTTTAATTTTATGTATTTATTTGACAGAGATCACAAGTAGGCAGAGAGGCAGGCAGAGAGAGGCGGGAAGCAGGCTCACCGCCGAGCAGAGAGCCCGATGCGGGGCTCGATCCCAGGACGCTGGGATCATGACCTGAGCCGAAGGCAGAGGCTTTAACCCACTGAGCCACCCAGGCGCCCCAAGACTAAGAGTTATTTTAAGAATTTTTTTCTTGTTTTAAGATTTGTCAGAGACAGCGAGCACAAGCAGGAGGAGCAGCAGACAGAGAGAGGAAGAAGCAGGCTCCCTGCTAAGCAGGGAGCCCGATGCCGGACTTGATCCCAGGACCCCGAGATCATAACCTGAGCTGAAGGCAGACCCTCAACCATCTGAGACACTCAGGCACCCCTTAAGAATGTTTTTCTATTTCAACATTGCTTTGGCTATTCGGGGTCTTTTGTGGTTCCATACAAAATTTAGGATTGTTTGTTCTAGCTTTGTGGGAAATGTTGGCATTTCAATAGGGATTGCATTATATCTGTAGGAGGCTTTGGGTGATAGAGACATTTTAACAATATTTGTTCTTCCAGTCCATGAGCATGGAATGTCTTTCCACTTCTTTGAGTAGTCTTCAATTTCTTTCCTTGGTGTTTTATAATTTTCAGGGTGTAGTTCTCTCACCTCTTTGGTTAAGCTTATCCCTGGGTATTTTATTATTTTTGGTGCAATTGTAAATGGATTGTTTTTGGTGCAATTGTAAATGGGATCGTTTTTCTTTCTGCTGCTTCACTATTAGTGTATAGAAATGCAACAGATTTCTGTACATTGGTTTTGTATCCTGTGACTTTACTGAATTCGTTTATCAGTTCTAGTACTTGTTTGGTGAACTCTCTAGGGTTTTCTGGATGTAATATGTCATCTGCAAATAGTGAAAGCTTTACTTCTTCCTTACCAATTTGGATGCCTTTTATTTCTTTTTGTTGCTTGACTGCTGTGGCTAGGACTTCTAGTACTATGCTGAATAAAAGTGGTGAGAGTGGACATCCTTGTCATGCTCCTGAACATAGGGGAAAAGCTCCCACAGAAGATCCCAAAGATCCAAAACAATCTTGAAAAGGAAAAAAATCTGGAGGTATCAAAATTCCAGACTTCAAGTTATATTACAAAGCTGTAGTAATCGAAACAATATGGTACTGGCACAAAAAACAGACACATAGTTCAATGGACTAGAATAGAAAACCCAGAAATAAGCCCATAATTATATGGTCAATTAATCTTCAAGAAGGGAGGAGAGAATATGCAGTGGGGAAAAGAGAGTCTCTTCAACAAAGAAAACTGGACAGCTACATGCAAAAGAACGAAACCGAACTCCCGTCTTACACCATACACAAAACCAACTCAAAGTTGATTAAGGACCTGAATGTGACACACAAAACCAGAAAAATCCTAGACGAGAGCAAGAGCAGTCATTTCTCTGACATAGGTTGTAGCAACATCCTTCTAGATAGGTCTCCCGAGGTAAGGGAAACCAAAACAAAAATAAAGTATTGGGACTACTTCAAAATAAAAAGCTTTTGCACAAGGAAGGAAACAATCCACAAAACTACAAGACAACCTACTGAATGGGAGAAGATATTTGCAAATGACATCTCTGATAAAGGGTTAGTATTCAGAATATCTAAAGAACTTATACAACTTAACACCCCCAAGAAACAAATAATCCAATTAAGAAATGGGCAGAAGACATGAACAGATAATTCTCTGAAGAAGACATCCCGATGGCCAACAGACACATGAAAAGATCCTCAACATCACTGATCATCAGGGAAATGCAAATCATAGCCACAATGAGATCACACAGGTCAGAAGGGCTAAAATCAAAAACACAAGAAACAACAAGTGTTGGTGAGGATGTGGAGAGAAAGGAACCCCTGGGGCGCCTGGGTGGCTCAGTCATTAAGCATCTGCCTTCAGCTCAGATCATGATCCCTAGGGTCCTGGAATCGAGTCCCGCCTCCACATCTGGTTCCTGGCTCTGCGGGAAGCCTGCTTCTCCCTCTCCCATTCCCCCCGCTTGTGTTCCATCTCTCGCTGTCTCTCTCTCTCTCAAATAAATAAAATCTTTTTTAAGAAAAGAAAAATAAAAGGAACGCTTGTGCACTGTTGGTGGGAATGCAAACTTGGTGCAGCCACTCTGGAAAACAGTACGGAGGTTCCTCACAAAATTAAAAATAGAACTACCCTCTAATATAGTAGTTGTTCTTCTGGGTATTTCCCCCCAAAATACAAAAACACTCATTCAAGGGGATCTGTGCACCCCTGTGTTTATGGCAACATTATTTACAATAGCTACATTATGGAAGCGCCCCAAATACCCATCGAGAGACAAATGGACAAAGAAGAGGTGGTAGATATATACAATGGAATATTACTGAGCCATAAAAAGAATGAAAGTTTGCCACTTGTAACCACATGGGTGGAGCTAGAGAGTGTAATGCTATGTGAGATAAGTCAGAGAGAGACAAATACCACGGGATTTCACTCATATGTGGACTTTAGACAACAAATGAGCAAAAAGAAAGAAAGAAA